ATATACAAGTATGTGACTTTTTTCTGAACGGCTTGCGTTATCTGTATCCTCACAATATCGAGCAAACCACACATAAACGCTATCTTTCTTCCAGTGTTTTTGCTTTTCAGAACATTAAGTATCATAAATCGTTACCTAGGTACACCCCTTGTCGCTGCAATAGTATAATAATAAACAAAAGACTAAGTATTGTTACACCGTGCTTCTCTTTATAAAAATTCGAATATGTAGGTTTGCAGAGCACGTCATACATTTTACCCTAAGAAGATGAGGTCACTGTCATGGTGAAATGGTGAAATGATGAAATGGTGAAATGGTATAAGTTTAACGTCCCTATAAACACAATAAAATTAATCAAGAAGCAAGATCTCCCGAGTTTAACGTCCATCTCCGCAAGGACTGAGCCAAATGGGAAATCCGTGTAAAGCGCCTTTCCCAAAGACACAACGTCGTCGGACCGAGCTGTGGTTCGAACCTCACGATTACGGGTCCCGAAGGCTCCTAACCACTGGGCCACCGACGCCACCACTGTTATGGTCACATGGTGTTTTATTTCACGAAGTGCCATTGTGGGTGTCTCTTCATTCAAGTATTAATGTGTTAGCTGTAAGTAATGAGGCAGTAGGCTGGGAGAGAGAAAAGAGCACAGCAGACAGAAAGACAGACAGAGACAGAGACAGAGACAGAAAGACAGACAGACAGACGGACGGACGGACGGACGGACGGACGGACGGACAGACAGACAGACAGACAGACAGACAAATAGACAGACAGACAGACATACAGACAGACGGACGGACGGACGGACGGACGGACGAAGGGACGGACCCGAAGAACGACTTCGAAAAGAGATTTTAAGTCTAAGTCTCTTAGCGATCAGTTCATCAAGAGCAAGCATGGTCAAGCTCCGGCCACTTGCGGGCTACATCCTGTCCGCGGTAAATTTCAGTCTAGCCTGAGGGTCGAACCAGTGATTAATAATGATTGTTTCCCACAGTGAGTATACAATGAAAACAAAACGGTCCATCCTGAAATTTAAAACTAATACTTTTCGACTCAGCTGGAAGAAATAGTTATCAAATATTTAATCACATGAAACAAGTTGAGTGTCACATTTTTAGGCAGGTGGTTGGAGGGCGCAACTGGTAGGTCCTATTTCTTTACTTTCCCTCTGTTGTTACTCTGTCTTATTTTATCCCAGCACTAAATTACCATTATTGTGTCGATGTACTTCTTTGTAATAATTATAATACATTGCATTTGTATATCGCTCTATTCCATAAGACCTGAGAGATTTACACCAATCACAAGATCACTGAAAAGTAATAATTCATTCACACAGGATAAAATATTTCATCCAAGTAACAAAAAAACCCCAAAAAAATCAAGATCAACAAACTTTTGAGGGATTGGGTTTTTCAACCCATTTCACCGATTTTTTTTTCCTGCTTTGGTCCGCGAGATATTTGAAATCGTTTAATCCCGTCTGCGACTTGGCCACACTTGCCCACGCCTGATCTAGATCAGGGGGCTCTCGTGGCCTTAAAGGTGTTGGCCTCTCATTCAAAGGTCCAGGGTTCGAATCCGGGTAGCGAGCGAAAAATTTTATTCTCTAAAATTGTCTCCTTTCACCTCCTTTCCTGCTCTGTTGCAATGTTCTGTCGTCTGCTTTCGTCTCCTCTTTCTGCCTCATCCCCCACACCTTCTTTGCCCCCTTCTCTGGGTTTCTGACTCTTTCTGCAGCCTTTCTACTGTTACTCCTTGGCCTTCTTACTGCTGTTTTTCAGCCACACCCCTGATCTTCTGGTAGGAAAGATCTACACCTAGCCTTCTCGGACAAGGGAGAAAAATCTCGGAGGGCCCGTGCGCAAGTTGCGCACGTTAAAGATCCCTTGGTGGTCTAAAATCGATAAGAGTAGGCTTCGGCCGCCACCCGGACAAAATTCAAAATTTCCTACCAACTGAAAAAGTTTTTAAATGTGTCCCGTGCGCTCATATGACCTTATGTAGTTGCGAACGCCGTGAAACACTTACCAAAAAAAAATATAGTTCACGGTAGAGACCCCTTCCCTTTTCAGTGGAGTAGTATGAATATTCAAACCTGTCTCACTGCTGCTACGAGACAAGATAATATACTGCCCTGAATTTTTCCTGACAAACATGATTATTAATGACCTTTCCAAAACAGAAGCATCACACACATACAAAGGCCGCAGTGAAGTATGGAGAAAGGGTGGGCAAAAAAAGGGGGGGGGGTAGAGAGAAAGAATGATCTCGACCTGCCACGGGGAAGTCTGCGGTTCGAATCTCAAAGTTGGCCAATAATTTTTGGCATCTTCCTGGAATGCCTAGATTCTAGTTCAAATTGTCCGATATAACCACCAATTTTCGAGGAGACAAGTGGCCGTCTTAGACAGGTTATCACCTTACAAAGTGCTATTATAACGTTGAAAACAAGAGAGGACAAGAAGTGGTCGTTTGTATAGGTGATTGTCTTCTACAGGAGGCCGTGAGAACAGGTTCTGTTTTTCCTCTCAGCCATAAACCGCATGAATGAGGAAAGCAAGGCCCCGAGTTTAGACGTTAGGAGAATAAAAACTGTATAGCCCCCTTAGCCTATTGATTGAAAAGCCTGCAGAGGGTGAGTCGAAAGCCATACTTGTAGGATCGCACAACAGGTGGCCACCATAGGGGAACTTGAAAGGCATGCCGTGGGTGAACATAATTTTTTTTAAGAGAAAACAAAGAAACGTGCAATTTAAAAATAAAATAATGTGTTGGGCGTGACATTTACACTGAACACAGAGCAAGGAAAAGATAGCGAGAAACCAGCAAAGGCTGAGTATGTTAATGACGAGCGACAGTGCGTGCGGGCGACACAGCTGTGTTCCAAATCTAGGTTGGATGACAAAATTGTGTGGTTTCGTGCCGCAAGGGCGTGCTAGTTTTTGGGAGTGTCATGTGTGTGTGTGTTTGTGTGTTTTAGAGCGTGTGCATATATGTGTGTGCGTTTGCGCGTGTGTGTGTGAATGCGTGTGTGTGCGTGCGTGCGTGCGTGCGTGCGTGTGTGTGTGTGTGTGTGTGTGTGTGTGTGTGTGTGTGTGTGTGTGTGTGTGTGTGAGTGAGAGAGAGAGAGAGAGAGAGAGAGAGAGAGAGAGAGAGAGAGAGAGAGTGTGTGTGTGTGTGAGTGTGTGAATGTGTGCGTTTGTGAATGTCAACAGGCAATGAGTGAGTTTGCGTGTCAAGGCATGTAAATACATATACGCATGAGCGTGGGCGTTATTAATGAATGGATACGTGAGTCTGTAGAATCTGTGAGTTTAATGAGTGTATTTGGGTCTCTTTGTATTTAACTGTTTAAAAAGGAATGTATGTCACAGGTCCGTGTGGACAAGCTCACGTTTGTGTCTGCATGCATCATAATGCGTAATCGTATGATAGTAACCAGTGCATGTACTATAATGTCTTAACATGAGTTGTTGTATGTGGGTGTGTACGAGTATGATTGCTTGCACCCATAATAATATGTGCACGTGTATGTATGCTTGCACCCATAATATGTGCACGTGTATCTGCTTGCGCCCAAAGGTTTGCGAACATGTGTTTGCGCACGTTCGTAAAACGTAAAGTCGAAAAATAATTATTATATAATAGAAAAGTGCCGCTGCACTAGCTAAAAAAGTATGGGCGTGTGTGTGTGTGGTACTGTCAGTTGTCATGGTGTTTAGAGGATAGGTGTGCAAGTTGAAGAGACTTTCGGATAGATAGGCAAAGGTTGGGTGTGGAGGATGGGGAGGGGGGGTAAACAATGCGTTTGGGCTTCTGGAATTCTAATCGGTAACGCCAATGACGAACTGAATAATTTGAGATTATGTTGGATGTTCATGGAATTCCAAACTCGTCTTGTGAAAATGGGTCTCAGCTGCTAAAGAAAGAAAAGCTTGTGTGGCTTATGGATTACTTAAAATGGGCTGTTGACAATGAGTATCATGAGTGACAAAGCAATAGGCAGGGAGACAGATTTCAGCTGATGTGCACATGGTATACTTTAAAGAGGACATATTGTATGTCGTTAGATCAACTGTACAGAAAGAACGTAAGCATAATGAATATTATGTTTCTAAAGCGATTTATAGATTTTCTAGAAAGGCATCAAACATCCCAAACTTCTTTTCAATTTCCTTTATAAGTCCTGGCTGAAAGAACTAGAGGAAAAACATACATGAATGACGATAGTATGCCTGTAAAATACATCGCGACATAGATAAAATATGCATGACTAAAATGATAGGCCTTGCTAAGCTGCACAAGAATGAACACCTCGGCCAAGGGAGTTGTTATCATGATGGAGAAGACGTCTTATTTGGTATACAACATGACTTATAAATAAGAAGAATTGAATTATCTTTAATCAAAATTTACCAAGCAACAAAATGACTTTGCAATTCCCGAGTTTCATCGTTCTATCCCAGGCATGACAGTGTCAACTGATGTAAAACATTCTCAAGGCCAGTGTTCGTTTTAACCAAATATATGGACATTTCAAATCCTCTGTTTGAATTTAGCAGAAAGATTCCTGATTTCATACTTCAAAGATTTTGTTATACAATGAAGGCAACAACTACACGATGTCATCGCATCGAGAGGTCTCTTTAACTTAGAAAAGACAAGACCTTTTTTATTATAAATTTCAATTCTATAGGCCTGCTGTTCTAAAACCTCAATCCCAAACCGTATATAAAGCAAACTCTGGAGCTACTGCGGTCTAAGACAGGCCTATTTAAAAAAAAATATATATAATATATATATATTCATCGCCCGTTCTGTCACCAAATGTCAACTCCTCTGTAAACAATCTCACGACAGTCTTTTCAGAGACCACCCCTATTATTTACATTCTGTCGTTCGACACAACTGGGCTACAAGATCTTCCAACACGTCAGGGTTGGGTTTCTAGAACTGCTTTTGGGTGAACAAAAACAACAAATACAAAAACTTACGTGCAAGACTGACTCCTGATAGGGGACAGCGGAATTCCAGCAAATCAAAACGATGTTATATAATCCACACAAAAATGACCACATCAAAAAAGATGTTCTCCTTGTGAATTAAACGTCTCTAGTCACATATAAACGAACACAAATGTAACACAAGCTGAAACAGTGGCTCCTGTTGGCTGTTGGAACTCGATTCAACACCCGAGATCATGACTCGAAACTGAGCCACCAGCGCTCATAGCACACCACTTCACACACCACTGAACATCAACAACACAGTAATGCTGAATCTCGTGGCAAAATGTTTAAAATTAAAGAGCTTCGGAAGGCCAGAGTGGGGGAGACGGGATTCCTTCCTACCCTTCTCCTCTCTTACACACGGTATCGTACACAATTGTTACGACGTTAAAACATGTGTCGCTGTGCCCTAGATCTAGATATCTACTTTACGAACACACGCGAGCTGAGAACACATCAACCTCACACAGTTAACTTGACGCGAGGATGCTTGTTTATAAATGTACCACTTACACAGTAATCCGGCACCAAGCAGCCCCACAAATAAACACAGCACCCTCCAATCCTTCAAACGAGAAAAGAATTGTGTCGCTACTTTTTGCTACATCGACTCACTCGCTTACTACCACAACAAAACATCCATAGTGAACTGTGCAAGAATCGCACTCACTCACACCTCTTCGACACGACGTTGCACGGCACTTTTACCGCGATGCGTCGACTATATTTAGACACAAGCATCGTGTCACATGACCGAGTTCTTATCAATAGAGAGCGGTGTCGGTTTTTCTCACAAGAAGAGAGCAACGAAACTCTCTTCAGCCGTACAAGGTTGAGAACTGCGTCCTAGTTTTCCTGATTAACTCAATTGGGTTACTACAGTCGTATCTTGCATGAGCATAGACCTATATATTCAGTGGTTCCCGCCTAGGAAATTCCACGTAAGAACCTGGTCCTCTGTCTTTATGATTGTCATTCCTAAGAGCATGCTCTATAAATAGCAATCCGCCTAAGAGCCCGGTTTGAGCTCGGGGGAGATATCCATTTCTGAGGTGCTTTTACCTACTTTAGGCCTTTTGGTGTGGAAGGAAAGGTATTGGCGTTGACTAGCAGACAATGAAAGCTACAAACTGCATGCATGTGTTTTACCCAAAACGTTTTTAGGCAGCCTAGCGAGCTTTGCCAAGAGGATTGGTTAGTCGCTTGGTAGTTTTCAGTTGGTATTTGTTCCTTTTGGATTGTCAAAGAGTTAAATGTGAGGCAGCGTGGTGGAATCAGGCTGTCGTCAATTTTTTGGCATATTGAGTTATTGGTTTCATCTTAAAGCTTCTTTATTTGTCTTGCTTTCAATGAAAACATTACCCATTCGTCTTCAGTAGAAGTGGAGATATTTTGGATTGAAGGAGGTGGGGGTCACCTTGTTTAAGAGGTAAAATTAGCGAGAAAACGGCCGCAAAAGCTTGGTAAATTCCAAAGCTGAAGAGTCCATGGAAACTGTAAATTTATATTTTTGTGCCTTTAATCAACGTTTTCGGTGAAATCCTCAAAGGAAT